AAGTATTAAGCAACAAGAAGAAGCACAAGAATAAGGTTAAGCTTTTTATTCTCTCCATCTTCTTCCCTACATCTTCTTAGTTTTCTCTACTAATTTTCTCGCCGGAGGGTCACTTGGGACTGTCTCGTTACCCCTTTGGACTTCTGCAGGTCATTGACGGAATCACCACCTGAAACCGGAAACCTAAGAACCTGAAGCCAGCCGCCCATTCACACCCGACGGACTGTAATCATATATAAAAATTACATAAAAAAATAATTTTTAACGATGATTATGTTAAAATATCTTATGATATAATTTTATTAAAAATTAAATATTATTATTATAACATATTTATAATTTTACTCTTATTTTTATTTTCCTTTCTGCATAAATAGGCCTATGGTAGACCTGCAGGAAAGTGATTATTTGTACCCGTTTGTAGAGTTGAGGAAAATGATATAACTTATAACTGATAACTAATAGTTTATAGACTTATAACTTGAATATAAACTGATTTTTGACTTATAAATAAAGTTATCCTCCCACACTCAAAAGAATGATGTGATTTTAACTTACAAACAAGGTATAAGCTGTATTGTTAAAGCTGAACCTAACACATCAAAATTAACTTAAATTAAGCTTTAAAAACTGAAATTAAACGGGAAATAAAGCCCTACCAAGCAGGCCTATAACTTAAGTTCTAACAGCTCATAAACTTATACTTGAACATAAGTTGATTTTTGACTTATAAATTAAGTTTTTTCTCCCCGCTGCAAAGAATAAGTGATTTTTTACTTTACCAAAAAATTATTAAATTATATTTTAAATAAACCAAATACATCAAAATACTTAAATTATCTAAAAATATAAAAATCTTAAAAATAAACCTTATAAACAGCGCATTAGATTTCTACCCATCGTTATTAAAATTTTTAAAAAGAGTAAATAATTAGTAGTACTGCGGCATATTAGGGTGGGTGTTACGTAAAATTGAGCCGTATGTGGATGCACAATATAGAGTTTCTATTGGTCGTACAATGCGTCACATGTCTCCGTACAACGACGTAAAAGACGTAACCAATGGTCTGACACCAGCTCAGCAATAGCCAGACCGTGTCACGTGGCCCTTCGTTGTGTGCGCGTCCATTTATTTAAGGAATGGGCAATGTAAGGGCCACAATTTGTGTAGCTCAAATGGTTCAAAATTGTCAAAACGACGTCAGTTTGACACAAAAACATATTCAAAACGACGTCGTTTTGACAATTTGAACCATTTTAGCCACACAAATTGTGACTTCTCAAAATTATTCTTTATAAGATATACTAGGCATATTTATCGTTATGCTTAAAATAATATTAAAATAAAATATAAATTTAATTTAAATATTATTTAATTTTATTTTCATTGATAAAATTTCATAAATTTATAAAAATTTTGAAATTTTCACGATTACTACTCATAAAAAACTCATGTTTATATAAACATATAGCCTATATATTATTATAAGCCAAAAAAATGATAGTTGCTTCATGTGCTCTTGTTGTTCTTGCCTTTTGTTGTTTTTCTGTCATTGGTTGGCTCTTGTCAAACTCTAATGCTGTGTTTGGTGAGGATTTAGGGAAAAATTTAAAAAAAGGAAAAGCGGAAAAGGAAAAAAGGTGTGTGAAATTAGCTTAAAATATAGACATGTTTTATTTATATTTCACACTAACCTTTATCCATTGCTCTTTTCAAATTTCTCCCCAAATTCCCGCAACCAAACACAGTATAAATGATATGCTAGAAAGAGGATTGAGCAAATATATAGTGCCAACCTAGTTGAGAGTGGTATGTCTATTGCTATGATACTTTTTGCACCTAGCCTTTTCCTTCTTGATGTAATGAGTTCTTTGTTCATCAATAAATGTTTTTTTTTTTTTGCCAAAATTATTCTAGCCACCAAAAATAAATTTAGGTAAATTGATAAAAATAACTATAAAAATTACATGATACATTTTAAAAATTAATTACATGATCGTCATCCAAAATATATAATAAAAATTAATTGTAAAAAAAAAAAAATTCTAAAAGATTATCAATATATTAATTTATTCTTGTAGTAGAAAAATTTAAAAATTCATAAAATAATTTTCAACATTTATTTGTCCAAATTAATTTAAATTTATCAAATTGACAATTTTACCTTGAAAAAATCCAATATATATTCAATTTCCTATTTGGAACAAAGATTCAAAATTCATGATCAAATGTATCACAATTGAAAAGTCAGGGACCAAAAGCATAAGCTCCAAATTATAGGACTGTTAGTGTAATCACCCTATAATAATAAAGTAGAGACAAGGCTTTTCTCCAATTATGATATGAGTGTTGGGCATTGGTCGGCCTCATTCAGACCTATGTTAATATCTAATTGTTTAATGGAAAATGTTTCGTACTCGAAAACATGTTGCCCCGAATGGCTCGATTCATAGCAAGAGGAAGAGAGAAGCAGAGGGAGAGGGAGAAAGAGAGAAGTAGAGAGAAGGGGGAGAAAGAGAGAAGCAGAGAAGAGAGAGAGAAAGAGAGAAGCAGAGGGAAAAAGAGAGAGAGAGAAGACGATCGCGCCCCAAGCCAGCGATCGTCGCCACCGCCCAGCGCTGATTCGCCAATCGTCGCCCTGCCCAGCCCTATGCCGCGCTCCGACCGCCCGTCGCCCCGCCTCCGCCTCCTTCCTCTCCCGAATATATTCCCCTCCAGCGTCCTCCATCCTCCCTCCTTCTTCCTCCTCCTCCTCCTCCTCATCATCTTTTCCTTCTTCTTCCTAGTCTTTCGTTCTTCTTTCTGCAAAAAAAAATAAAAAAATAAAATCGAGCCATTCGGATTCCCCGTTTTCGAGCTACATAGCGTGATCGTTGTTTAATAATAAAATCGTTGAGTAAATTATTTTTATAAAAAATCATATAAATTGAATCAATAAACTATTTGATCATATCACATTTCAAAATTATAATTTTCAAAAGTAAATCGAAAGAATCGCCAATTGGATCAATGGGTTATCGATATCCAATTAACGTAATTTTTTTCAAAAATGAAATTATGCTCGATAAGTTTTATACATTGAACGGTTTAATATCGACTACGGACAAATTCTAAGGGCCACCAAGCCCAACACTCTCTCTAATTTATTTGGAGAGGAGCCATGTCTATAAAGTTATTATGTATAAATTGTATTCCAATTATTATATTAACAGATAAAGTACATAATTTTTAAAAAGTTTTAGATTTTGTGTAATTATATTAATAAGGATAAAAGTTTAAAGTGACAATATTATAGTATATATTGATATATTAATTAATACTATCAATTGAGTACATGAACACCAGACAGTATTGATAAAAATTTATCTTAATTTTTTATGAGAGAGAATTTTAAATTATGTCTCTATTTCTGTAAAAAAAATCATGATGATTTAAATAAACAAAAAGTCAATATTATCTTATTACTCACATCAACTATGAATAAATCTATATGTTTAAAAAAATAAGGTAGCACAATGATCATGATTTTATAATGCTTTAGCTTTTCCTACTACTATCAACTTCTCACATACCTGCCCTAGCTCCTCATTCCTCCCATCTGCACATCAAAACCATACGTACGTTGAATCTATTACACCATATAATATATTTTACATACTATTGGTCAGATAATATATAACAGTCGACAATACAAATATTAAACTTAAAAGGGAAAATTCGACACTCTAAGTTTATACACTATTCATATATTATATATATATATATATTATTTTTATTAAATATTTGTATTGCCGACCAAAGCACATGACCTACGAGTAGACTAACGGTCCCTGTTTGTTTCACTGGAATATATAAAAGATGCAAGAGGACAATAAAATAGACCACGAATGGTAGAAAAGCCCCTATAGTACCACAGGATTATAGTAATGGAATATTAAGGTGATTGGGTGGAGTAGGTACATAAAAGAAATCCCCTACGCAGAGGTCATAGTTTTGTGTCGGACCTCTGATAATAAATATGTATTACGGACCCATACTGATTAAATGCCCCATGTCCTGCTTATTTATCTCAACCAAATATAATTTGTGCGGACTATTACACCCAAGTAATATTTCAAGAATTGCCTCTCTATAATAATTCCCCCATATTATATTATATGGTAAATAACCATCTAACTATATATTATTATTATATTTTCAAAATTCAAAAATATGACTTACTCTAACATTTATAGTTATAAATTTTTAAAATTAAATAAAATTTAATTAAATAAATTATAATTCTAATGTATTAAATTAAATTGAAATTAAATTCATATAATATTATTATTAAATTAAATTCTAGTAATGTATTTTTCCATCCTACATCCTAACTTTAAATTAAAATTAATTATATCTTCTTATTAATTTATCGTATTAACCACTAAAAATATTAAATGTCATGAATTAAATTCAAAATTTAAGATATTAGATTATACTATATTAAATTCAAAATTTTTATATTCATTATATTTTATTCATTCAAATAATATTATTAAATTCAAAAATTTCATAATTAAATTCATATATTTAAATTCAAAATAAATTCAAAATTTTATATTCAATTATATTATATTAAATTAAATTCAATAATATTATATTAAATTAAATTAAATTCAATAATATTATATTATATTAAATTCAATAATTATATTATATTAAATTAAAAAAATATATTAAATTATATTATGTTAGATAGACAAAAGGGTAAATTGAACTTTTTACATCATATACCAACCAAGGGGATATGATATAATGGGGGGTAGTATTGTATATCCTCCACTTTTTGGGGATATATAATCCCACTATATATTATATTCCCTTCAAAAAAAAATTACAAACATGAAATATATAAACCCACCAAATGTAATATTCAATTTCAATCTTCATATCCCCAGTCAAACAGGCCTAAGTTTATAACATGCTGCTACACGCTACTTCTAATCATATTCTCTCTATATAGATGTACTTTGCACCCCCTCATAGTTTTGAGTCACTTCCAATACACACAACATACTCAAACATCCTAGCTAGCCCCAAAAAACCACAAAATCAACAACATTAAAACCTTCACTTCAACCATGAAAGTATTAGAAGCAGCCACGTTTCTCCGCCCAACGCCGCCCTTCGACAGACTGTTTCCGGCCAAATCGGCCCGCCATCCCCAATGGAGATTTGTGCCCATTAGAGCAAAAAGAGGAGTCGACGGCGGAGACTTATACGGTGGCGATCGGCCGGTGGATGAGGGCATGATCGTCCTTCGGATGCGAATTCGGGAGTTGAAGTTGTCGGAGATGAGCCACGTGTTGCCTTCGGATTGGATGGAGTGGGAGAAGAAATATTATGAGAATTACAACGAGGATGTTTGTGAAGCAATGGGGTGGCTGCAATCGGTCTTGATGAATACAAGGCCGTCTTTGGCTATGGGAATGGTTGCACTTGTTGCTTTGAGTGTACCCTTTTCTAGTTTTGTTGTCCTACTCCATGCTATAGAAGTGGCTAAGGGGTTTGTATCTATGTTTCTCCGAACTATGTGAATTCGGAACCAACAAAAAAGAACAGAAGAAAAAGAAAATAGGAGGAACACTAGTGTGATTTACATATTAATGCAAGTTAGAAAGGTCTGCAATATTCTATATTTGAATTTCTATTAACTCAGATTGTGTTTGGATTAATTACTTGTGTGGATTTATAGATGAAAATGAAATGAGAGAATGCAATTTTTTTTACTTCTACCTTTTTCTTGTACTAATCTCTTCTTGAATTCTTGATCTAAATACAGTTTCCCAAGAGATTTAGGTCTTGTCAATTTGAGGTGATTTTTTTTTTTATTATTATTATTATGAAAGAATTATTCCATGTACATCCTTCGATTATAATTAAACTTGGGCATATCCATATTATTAATTGTTGTTAATTGTTTATGTGTTAAATTAATCAGTTCTATCATCATCTTCTTCTTGTTTCAAGTGTCTCACAATTGAATTTATTAATTCAATACTTAATTTTAATTTTTTTTTTCAATTACGAAGTATGACTTTTTTTTGGCTAACAAACTAATCCTATTAATTACTAGAAATGCGAAAGAAGTGTGTTTCCTCAGCTTTTTTCGTAAAACAGATCATTTCATTCCTAATTTTATGGGGAGTTCTTTTTTTGAGTGCAATCAACTTTGAGTAAATACCATAAACATCCAATCATACAATTTTAATAATCACTATGATTGCAATGTTTAATCCCATTTTAAGTCAAGTAACCCACAAGTCATTGATGATTTTAGAGAAAGCAATCAAAGTTGCTTATATAAATTTATCACGCAGTTTTCAATTAGATTTTGTCTTCAAAATTTTTACCAGAGTACATAAAAAAAGAGAAAAATTTTGAGACTGAAATTCTCGTGTCTACTGAAACATATCTAGGGTTTTCTTATAAATACATGTTGACGGCTTTTGGCATTGATGGGGCCGGTCAAAAGTAGATTAAGCTTTGGTAGTTTTTAAGATTTTTAGGTGAACAATACAAAGCTTCACATTTTGGTTTCTCCATTAAATTTGCCTCATGCATGTGACGAACTCAATATAAAATGATGTTGATTATTTCACCTTAATTCCAAAGTAACCATCCTTAGAAAACATTTAATCAATCAATCATGGCAGAGAAGGAAGGTGGGATTGTCAAGAAAGGCCATGAATTAGGGCTAATAATGGCAATTTCTCTTCTTGAAGAGCATGGACTTCCATTGGGACTCCTCCCTCTCGCCAACGTGATCGAAGTTGGGTTTGTGAAGGACACTGGGTACATGTGGATTATACAAAAGAAGAAAGTTGAGCACAACTTCAAGATGATAAGCAAGCTTGTGAGTTATAATAGTGAAATAACTGGTTATGTCGAGAAGAAGAGGATCGAGAAGCTAAAGGGTGTGAAAGCGAAGGAACTCATGCTATGGCCTCCGGTCAATGAGATCACCGTTGATGACTTGGCCACCGGAAAAATGCACTTCAAGAGGCATCACCAAAAGTTTTCCCGTGGAGGCGTTTGCTGCTGGGCAGTAATGGGTGTGCCCTAATTGGTTTGAAAAGTTGCATATGGTTTTTAGTACTTTAATCTAGCATCTTTCTTTCTTTTCTTCCACATTTTAAAGTGTTTTTCTATCCCATTTTAGTGTTTGTATTGATGGGTTTCTCAAGAAGTTTGATGAAAATTAGCCAATCTATATTGTCTGATGCATACTAAAATACAGTTGATTTCTTACTTGAAGAACAAACTAGAAGAGACTACTTTATGTATAGTGTACCATTTCTGGAGTTTTTTTCTTCTTTTTAATCAAATCTACATATTTTCAAAACAAAATTCTGAAAACCCAATGTAATTTTGAATTTATTTCCAAACTCAAGCTATTGTTAATTTATTTTCAAAACCCGACTTTAGTTAACATTATGTATTTTTTAAAATCATTTATTGAAAACACGGCTTAAAGTTTGAAATCGTATTTTTAAAATACAACTTCATAAAACAACTTAAATTTTTAAAAATAAATTCAAAATAACTTGCCTTTGAAAAACAAGTTTAATGTTATTTGCAATCATGTTTTTACCTTGAGTCATGCAAATTCTGCCAAATATGAATTTGGATAAGTTATGAAATGAAGACAAGATTTAAATTTGATGAATAAAATTGGTGGATAGATGGAAATTTATTTGATTGATGGAGAAAATAAATTGAAAATTTAAAAACTTTGACAGCAGTGTGAAAGGAAAAGAGTTGAATATGTAATCTAAGCCAACCCACATTACTGACTAACATTGAATAATCATATTTCTTACACTTATGTAAATAGACCTCCATGAATGAGGAAAATTGATTGGCTCTTTTTAAAAAGTATGCTACAAATGTAAAAATAAAATAAAATAAAAATAATATGAAAAAGAGAGTAAAAAATACAGTGTGGCAGCATTGCATTTGTTTTAGTGGAGTGTGGAGCTTATTTAGAATGAATGTAATGATGTCAACACAATTGTAATGATGTGAATACAATATTCTAAAATGGAATTAATTTCAATTTCTTATGTAAACTGCATTTCAGAACGATTTTTAATTAACTTATCTTTCTGTTTTGAACATAAATAATTTTGACACATGTTTTTTCTAATGATTAGGCTAAATTTTAGGTCGAATATTTATATGGAGGGTCAAATTGGATTAAAACATAGTATGTTTGAATAATTTATGAGTGCTGTTATTGGTAATTTTGTTTTCACACATCAATTCTTCTCAGTTCACACATTTAATGAAAATTTTCATTAATATAATTTTGCCCTGGAATAAAAATACTATAACACCCTCATCTTCTTCTACTCAAACCCTAATTCTAAAAAGTCACAATCATTTTTTTATCACCAGTGCCACCTCTCTCATTTGTCATCCCCTCCTATTGCCGCTTTTCCTCTTCGTTTGCGATCACTTTCCGCTATAAACCATATACTTCCACAAGTCTTCACTGCGAATCACTTGAGGTTGATTGTAGGAGGTCTAAGATGGAAAGGGATAAGCTAGAAGTGGCGGTGGCGGCGATGGAGGGTTGAAAGTGGCGGCAACGGCAATAAAAGAGGAGTGTCTTGTATTTTATTTTTAGTTAAGTCCTTCTTAACTTAAAAAAAAAAAAAAAACGAGAGGCCAAGGGGTTGGTTGTATGGTTGCGAGTAGCAGTAGTAGGGGTATTTTTATACTTTCCGAATCTCTCTCAATGCATGTCATCTACCTGTACTTTTAATTTCATGCTATTAAATAAAAATTTTCTTTGCTGATAAAAAAAAAAAAAAACGGCAATAAAAGAGGAGTGGGTGAATGAAAAAAAAAGAAGCTAAGTTTAATCTAGTTTTAGAATATGTTTTCAAAAATAAATAAATAAAAACTTCTCATTTCAATATGATTTTATCTTTCTAGGGGAAAAAAAAAATTAAAAATTAAAAATTAATTTTTTTGGTATTTATTTTTGGCAAATTAATTTATAATTTTCTTAAAAAAATTTCAAAAAATTGATTCAAACATTGAAATCAAACATAGCCTTAGGGTTTTAAAATTGAAAATGACGGCAATATTAGAATATAGAAATGTGTACTAAGAATTTATATTTTTATAATGTGTATATTGAAAATGTGTTCATTAAGTATGTATACTAAGAGAAATTAATATGTGGAAATATAATTACCGGCGGCTATTAGCATCCCATCAATTATTTTGGACCCCCATTTTTTAGCTCTTTTTTATTACAATAATAACCTTAAATGAAATTACTAAAAAAGACATCAATAATTTTGGAATACCCCATTTCACAATTAAGTTTACACACCGATTACATCATGAGTTAGGGTTAATGAGAGTATCCACCTCCATTATCAAAACTTACCCACTTTCAAAATCTTGAAAATCCTTTGGCAACAATATTCTGACTGTAACGGTGACAACTATTTGATTACCTACACTTCTCCGGTAATGACAATGAGTGGAAGTTTTTCTGGTAACCACAACTCCATAAAACAAGAGGAATACAATAATAAAAACTCAAAGGAGGTTTATAATTTTGATAGTATTCTTAGCTCAGAGGAAGTTGGCCTTATAAGGGTAATTTTCTTGAAAAAAAAATGACAAAAATAATAAAAACTGTTCGTCATTTTTTTGGAACTGAACTCTAGAACATATAACCGAAATTCAGGAATACAAGCCCAAACATTGTTTATTTGTTCGGGAACAGGTAACCGAACATTTATTTTCTCTGGTCATGAACAAGTATGTGGAGATGAAGTAATAATCACCTTCGTGAATTTGTTTAGGATTTTTGGGATAGAGCCTTTTTGGGGTGTATGGGTGTACATTCAATTAAATGGGTAGAATATTTTTACAAGGATAATTTTGATATTATTTAGGGGGCGAAAATTTTTTTTACGGGTTTTAGAATTTATAAGTGGGGATTCAAAAAAATGGAAGGTCCAAAATAATTGATGAGATGCTAATAACAGTACCCTAATTTATTTTTTTCAAAATTTAATATAGATAAATTCTAGATGTTTTAGAGAAAAGAGTCAAATGGAAAATATAGATATGATGGATATGCTTTATTTCAACTCACAGGGGTTAAAAGAAAATGATATGATGAAAGTGATAAGGATCGAAAGAAATTGGAAAATTGAAGACTTTTATTTTGTTTTGTTTTTTTGGTTGGAAGTGGCTTGTTTGAACTCATTACGAATTCTATTCTCATAATCTAAATTGTTCAATTTTGTCTATCTTGAAAATGGTAATCACATGTTTCGTCTAAAAAAATATTTGTCATCTAAAGACAAATATGCTACATTATTTTGTTTTTATTTTTATTTTTAGAGGTGATTTACAAATATTAATAATCAAGATGAATAATTTAAATTATTAGAATGAGATCAGTCGTCGACAAACTGATACAATTAACAAATATTAATAACCAAGATGAACAATTTAAATTATTAGAATGAGATTAGTAGTTGACAAACTGACACAATTAACAAATATTAATACTGCAGACGAATAATTTAAATTATTAGAATGGGATTAGTCCTTGACAAACTAGCACACTTGAATAGACTGTAGATAACAGTAAATATATATATTTTTTAGTATTGTATTGTTTTGTTTTGTTGGGAGGTGTAAAAGGTGAATATTTTCTTAGTTCATGAATCATGAAAACTGATTCATTAAGCATAAT